GAATAAAAAATAATTCTTAATAATTCATAAATTTTCGATACGATTTTCCAAATATACTAATTATAATCAATTTGATCAAAAACTTGCTTTTAATCTTCTTCCTCGGATATAACATAACATTCATAAAATAATAAATATTGTTCTATTTATAAATTTCATTGATATAATTATTATCATTATTCGACTGATAATAAAACGACGGTATTTAGAGAGAGGGAGCCTTTTGTGTTTTTAAGGAAATTTTCGATATCGATAAAATGTGAATAAAATTCATTCGACACAAGAAATTTCGTATTTCGTATTTATGCATATGCGAGGACATGGTTGGCCGATTAACTGAAAAACACCATTATTTCGATTATTATTTATGAATTTTTTTTGTAAAAGTATTTTCTCACTATTTTTGGTTCGGTTGAATTGTTGGGTCGGACGAATTTCACCAGGGAACCATTTCGCGACAGAAGTACACCGTAATTTTTGAAAGTTATGAAAGCAACAATCGGTTTTACTTCCATGACAAATTTTATTCCAATTAGTTGTATTGAATGACTATTAGGATGCGATTGCTCCGTAAAAGAATCATATGGACAGAAAGAGGTATTGGTTCTCATTCATTGTCAATTTCACTTGTATCGTGGAATTCTCCTTCTTCTAACCAATTCTCGCTGCTTAAGCGAAGTGCACCCACCACTCGTTCCGATCCCATACAGAGACCGCTCCATGTTTCATTAGTCGCTCTTGATCGCATTCAGTGCCTTTTCCCTTTCCCTCTATAAAACCACTTATCATAAAGCTTATCATGCAAGGAGATATATTTAATCGTTTTCTACTTAACAAGTTAAAAATTAGATTTTGATTGTGTTCGATGAATTTCGTTATTGATTTGTCAGTGGGATTTTGCGAAATGGGAGCTGATTTTGTGGAACATGGATCAAAATAAATCCGGCATCCCTCTTCCTTATTTTTTGATTTCAAGAAAAGTTCTAATAAGGGCTCGAATAATGCTGCTTAGTAAATACCATGCAAATACCACAATTTTTTTAAAAACATTTGTTCGAAGGATTTTTTTATTATAATGAATAATATTTTGAAAAGTGATTTAATTCACATTATCACTGATCACTGATACAGTTATCACTGATACTGGCTACACACAATAACCACAAGTTCTCGCGCACTGTTGCATCATTGTTGTTCGAAATACACCTCCACAGCTATTTGCAGCTCTAATTGCTGCACAATGCTGTCTTTCATCTCTGCATGTCGCCGCTGAAGATGGTAAAGTCGTTGCTGAAACATATAAAATATTTATGGCCTTCAGTTTTGCAATTCGTTCCTATCATTTTGAATTTTTTTAAAAAAATATTAGGAATTACTTGCTAAACAGTCGAGCGACCCGCACGTTCTTTGGCACATATTTTTCAATTTGTTGTCAAAACAAATGCCCAATCCCATAAGAACGTCGCAGCCGTCGATGGTATCGGGGCACATATTTGCAGCACCAGGTAAATGACAAAGGCCGCAAGTCTGTGGGCAAAGTCGTAATGCAAGACTTGGGAATTGAGAACACATTGCTCTTGAAAAATTTCTGCATGCACCGTCCCGACCTCCAACTGAAATTTAGATTAATGGAGGATTTAGCACAAATCTTCCTCTCTTCCTCATTATTATACAATCAATCAGCATTCCTTAGTATGCCAGGGAGAATATTTATTGAAACTTTACCATTTTCACAGTTATATTCCTTAGTCATGCAACAAGTCGCGCACATCCATGGGCACATTTGTCGAGCTAACATTATATAGGGCTCCTGCTGACATTTGTCTAGGACCTGATAATTCTGATTACTGCAATTATTTAAAAGTTTATAAAATTCTGTCCCCTTCATATTTTTAGCTATGGTTGGAAATTTTTTCATGGAAATGCTTAGAGCAGTAGCAGTAGACGGTTGAAAAATTAAGAAAAATTAAGAATTAACTTAAGCTACATTTTTTTTTTCATGTTTCGATAAAAAGTTGCCTATCTGCCATAAAATTAAGAGAAATGGCTTATTTGGCGCAAGA